GAATTACAACAGTTTGTATATGTGCCTCCCACTTTTCAAGGGACCAAAAGTAATGGGACAATTAGCTACTCAGCTGTTCCATGGCCAGGTGTGTGTTATTCCCTCATTATTCCATTTACAAGGAGCAGATAAAAGGTCCAGAGTTAATTTCAAGTGTGCTATTTGCATTTGGAATCTGTTGCTGTCAACTCTCAATATGAGATCCAAAGAGCTGTCACTATCAGTGAAGAAAGCCATCATTAGGCTGAAAAAACAAAACAAACCCATCAGAGAGATAGCAAAAACATTAGGTGTGGCCAAATCAACTGTTTAGAACATCCTTAAAAAGAAAGAACGGCAACAGTGAGTTCAGCAACACCAAAAGACCCGGAAGACCACGGAAAACAACTGTAGTGGATGACCAAAGAATTCTTTCCCTGGCGAAGAAAACATCCTTCACAACAGTTGGCCAGATCAAGAACACTCTCCAGGAGGTAGGTATATGTGTGTCAAAGTCAACAATCAAGAGAAGACTTCACCAGAGTGAATACAGAGGGTTCACCACAAGATGTAAACCATTGGTGAGCTTTAAAAACAGGAAGGCCAGATTAGAATTTGCCAAACAACATCTAAAAAAGCCTTCACAGTTCTGAAACAACATCCTATGGACAGATGAGACCAAGATCAACTTGTACCTGAGTGATGGGAAGAGAAGAGTATGGAGAAGGAAGGGAACTGCCCATGATCCAAAGCATACCACCTCATCAGTGAAGCATGGTGGTGGTAGTGTCATGGCATGGGCATGTATGGCTGCCAATGGAACTGGTTCTCTTGTATTTATTGATGATGTGACTGCTGACAAAAGCAACTGGATGAATCCTGAAATGTTTTGGGCAATATTATCTGCTCATATTCAGCCAAATGCTTCAGAACTCATTGGACGGCGCTTCAAAGTGCAGATGGACAATGACCCTAAGCATACTGACCAAAGAGTTTTTTTAAGGGAAAGAAGTGGAATGTTATGCAATGGCCAAGTCAATCACCTGACCTGAATCCGACTGAGCATGCATTTCACTTGATAAAGACAAAACTGAAGGGAAAAATCCACCAAGAACAAGCAGGAACTGAAGACAGTTGCAGTAGAGGCCTGGCAGAGCAGCACCAGGGATGAAACCCAGCGTCTGGTGATGTGTATGCATTCCAGACTTCAGGCTGTAATTGACTGAAAAGGATTTGCAACCATGTATTAAAAAGTGAAAGTTTGATTTATGACTTAATCTGTCCCATTACTTTTGGTCCCTTAAAAAGTGGGAGGCACATATACAAACTGTTGTAATTCCTACACCGTTCATCTGATTTGGATGTAAATACCCTCAAATTAAAGCTGAAAGTCTGCAGTTAAAGCACATCTTGTTCATTTCATTTCAAATCCACTGTGGTGGTGTATAGAGCCAAAAAGATTAGAATTGTGTCAATGTACTAATATTTATGGACCTGACTGTATATATATATATATATATATATATATATATATATATATATATATATATATATATATAGTGTGTAATTTAATTCCAAGGGTATTTTTATATTAATATATGTATATATTAATATAAAAATACACTTAGTATGAAATTATGTAAGATATATAGATGATATATATAAGATCTATAATTATATTTTGATGTATTAACATTTTTTATTTTACAGATGCAGGGAGACTGCCTATCAGTCACCATTATGGACACCTACTGCGGCCATGTGATTGCTCTTTCAGAGTGATCACATGGCCCACGGGGCCTAATTTGCCGAGGGGAGACTGTCTGGGCTGTCAGGCAGTCCCCTCACACCGGGAGCAACACTAATGGCTGTCAGGGAAATGGCAGCGATCGGGTAAGTAATAATATTTGCCGCGGTCGTACTATGTACGCCCGCAGTCCTTAAGGACAGTTTTTAATCGAACATACCTACTATATCCGCGCTCCTTAAGGCGTTTAAATTATAGACTGATGATTACTTTGTCAGTGGACAAACTTTCAAAATCAGCAGGAGAGAATATATATATATATATATATATATATATATATATATATATACACACACACACATATATATATATATATATATATATATATATACACACACACATACACACTTATTTCCTATATATGTATATTATAAAATAATTAAAGCATTTTAGAATATATTATACATATATATGATTGCATTATAAGTATTTTAAGATATAAATGTATATATCTCAAAATACACTTATAATGCAATCATATATACGCTATATATGTGTATAATAGATTATAAAATGCTTTAATTTATAATATATTCTACATAAATATGTAGAAAATATTTATAGTAATTAATTTAAGAATGTGTTTCTGGGGGACTGCCTGACTCTCTTCACACAAAGCTTTTTGGCAAGCTAAACTACCTTAGGGGGTCTGACGTGTTCTTTTAAGCTAAAGTTGTTCTTGTGCTTAGGGGTTTTTATCATAAGGGCAAGGCATGACATTACAGATTTAATTTAACAGTTTCCAGGCTGGGATTTAAAAAAAAAAAAAATATATATATATACCAACCCAAAACGTGCTTCTAAACATATGTAAGTTATATGCATGGTTAGTAGGCCTATATATATTATATATATATATATACACACACACACTCACCAAAAAAAACTATATATATTCTAACTATAATTATGGTTAAAATATATTAGGTCTTAAAGGACCACTATTGTGCCAGGAAAACCATACTCCCACTCCTGCCGGGCTGGATGGTGAGGAAAGGGTTAAATCTTACCTTTTTTTCCAGCGCCGGGCGGGGAGCTCTCCTCCTCTCCGGCTGAATGCGCATGTGAGAAGCACGCAAACGCCTCTAGCGGCCGTCAATGAGACAGCCACTAGAGGCTGGTTAAACCCATTTATAAATACAGCAGTTTCTCTGAAACTGCTATGTTTATTATAATAAAAAAAAAAAGGGTTAATCCTAGAGGGACCTGGCACCCACACCACTTCATTAAGCTGAGTGCCTAGAGTGGTCCTTTTTTTTTAGAATTTTTATGAAAAGCCAGTTTTCACAGTGCTGGAAAGTCCCTGAAATTCCACTACAATTAAATGTTAAAAAGGCAAAGTTTACTTCATCTCATTTAAGTGGTAATCTAGCACATGTGAAAAAGTACAAGAGAGAGATTGGCTCCCGGCAGCTGAACAATGTCAGCATCAAGCACAGAGAAATGAAATCTGATTCTAAGCCCCATGACCACTTGCACAAACCCCACAAGTGACAATGCTGCTTTTATAGTTGAGCTATCCTCTGGAAAATAGATACACAAATATAACATAGCATAAAATACATTGTGCCAACTTTGTTGCTTTTTTTTTTTTTTTTTTTTAGCGGTTTAAGATTTTTCTTTAATAACGCATTAAAAGTTGCTATTCACAGTTGACCATTTAGTTTTGCCAACTTTTAGAAAACAAAAAATGCTATAGCAGGGACAAAAGGAGATGGATTATATGGTGTGTCCAAAATTATTTTACCTGAACAATTTAAAAATATAGAAAAAATAAATAAAATTAAGTCATAAGTTGAATGGTTTGGAATGTGCAACCTATGCAGATTTGTTTAATTTGTGTGTGTTCTTTTGTGAATGTTTCGTTTAAAACACAGTAACCTTTTAAGAGAAGGAAGGGGCATTGTTTTCTTCAATACTGTATATACAAAAGTAATGGAATGCATCTGGCAGAATGCCATCAGGGAAAATTATATTTACAACATCTGCACTGTCACCAAGGCTTGCCCTTTCTTAGCTAGAACATTAGGTATGGAAGTCCAAATGTGTGTTAAAAAAAAAAAAAAATACCATTAGGATGTGTGCAAAATGTAATAAATATAAAAAAAATCCTTGTTTCCCAGATTCAAGTAAAAGTACTGTTCACTCTAGTGCATTGTATATGGTGCACTCAAACACTGTCTCTATGCTGATGGCCTTCAGATGTATTAGATTAATGCATGGCTTGAATTGTACATCTGACAGGTATTTTGATATAGTTTAAATGGACACTAGTCACCATAACAACTGTAGCTTTATAAAGAAGGTTTGGTGTATAGACCAGTGATTCCATAACCTTCTAGGTTCAAGGCACCCTTAATATTTTTCCAAGGCGCCCCAAGTCAATACAAATTTCTAGGTAGTATATATGTGCAGCGCTGCGGCATATAGTTACTGGGCCCCTGTTTTGCAGAAATGTTTCCAGGTCAGGGGCGAATCCAGAACCTAATCTCAGGAGGGGCACTGGTAGATTATTTAATGAAACAATCCAAGTACAATAACCACTACAGCACTCTGTAGTGGTTATGGTGCCAGGAGTGCCATAGAGCCGTCCCAGGGCAAGCAGTCAAACTGTTTAAGAACAGTTTGACAACTTACCTGGGGTTTTCTGGGGTAGGGGCAGTGGTGTGTGTGCGCACATGCGCGCATGTGTGAGGGGTGCAGTGTGTATACAGGCTTGCATTGTTTGTGAAAGAGGCAGTGTGTGAGGGGTAGTGTGTGTATGTGTGTGTGCGTGCGCAGATTAATAAATATATACTTTTATTACCTTTGACTGGGAGGAGGAACAGTATAAGGCAATCCGTGGTGGTCCAGCTGAGAAGCCCTGGTGGTTCAAGTGGTAAGAGTGAACTTTAGCAGCTACTGAGGCAAGAGTTCATTCTTGCAAGATTCAGAGTGTTGCCATAGCAAGAGGAGAACCCAGTGGAGCTGCAGGTTAGAGCTCCCAGGGTCCTCTCTACCTCCCCTGCTGGCGGTCAGCATTTCAGTGCTAGTGGGCCGGTGAGGGAGATTTCTGATCAGTCCTGCAGAGCCAGCAGTGGAGAGCAAGGCATGGACAGTTCCCAGTACTATGATTATAGCACCAAGGGAAAATTTGGCAGCACCGAGGATCACACAGTTTGGGAACAGTTGTTATAGACAATGCTACTGCAGTCTCACTGCTCAATTCTCTGCCAGGAGTTAAATCGCTTTGTTTGTACAACTCTTGTCACACCTTCCTGCATGTGACTTGCACAGCCTTCCTAAACACTTCCTGAAAAGAGAAATGTAATGTTTAAACTTCCTTTATTGCACATTCTGTTTAGATTTTCTTTTATCCTGTTCTGTTAATAGACTTTTAGACATTAGAGGAGTGATTAAAGTTAAATTTACAAAACAGGAGATAAAAATGTATAAAGTAAGTTAACATATGATTAAAATTAAACAATTTTTCATGCAGGCTGTGTGGGTCACAGGAAGGGAAGATATGGTTAGGGCTGCATGGACAGAAACAAAAGCAGAGAAATGAGCAGAAAGACTGCTGGGACAAAATCTACACACCCAAACTGCTTAATTAAGCTAAAATTGTTTTGATGCCTTTAGTATCCATAAGCTTTTTTTCCCCCACCTTAAAAAACCCCCCACAAAACAAAAAAATAAAGACACCCAATTTACGGTTTTCATTAAATGTAAATTTCAACACCTTTTGTATGTACAAAATAGATATCTTACACCCCCCAAATAAAAACACTTCTCAGTGGCATATTAAAAAGACGTGCTTGTCATTCTTAATAAAACAAAGAGCATAAGAACAATGGAGAAATATGGAGATATGTGCAGAAGATACACAAGATTATATTACAATATATTTACATAGGCTTCTATGCCTGCAGTTTAAGGCCTTGATATTTGGGCCACAAAAAGTAATAGGGGGTATTTTCAATGTCAAGTGGAAGAGTCTCACTGTTTCTGAAACATCTGTATGTATATAGTTATGCCATTATATAAAACTAGGGAACTGCTAAAGAAAAGTAAAATAAAAACAGAATAAAAAGGCTGTATATATGGTAGCAAGGAAACACGCAGAACCTTTTACAATTAGTCCAGTCTGCAAACCATTGATGAATAACTTTTCACAGGTCCACAACTGTAGATGACATTTCCAGTGATGTACAGCCAGTTGATCAGCTAGCTGAGCATGATGGGAAATGATTCACAACAGCCTATGTGCCCAAGGTTACCCATCACAGGCAATTTTATAAACTGCACTTTTTAAAATTTTATTTTTAAAATAGGTTTAGTCCCATACACTATATAACATTTAGGGACTTCATGAAAGAAAAGGCCATCACTGTGCTCTGTAATTTGGTAAGCAGAACCTTTAACAATGCATTTTAATAGTTTTGTTAAGATGCACATTGTGGATGTTTTCTTGTATACTTTATTTTAAACAGGAGAAGCCTAAAAGTGGCTCCAATAGCTACACCAATAATAATAATAATAATAATTAGAATTAAAAAAAAAAGAAAGAAAAGAAAAAAAAAAATGTAGGCATCTTCTTTAGTGTAAAAGTCTGTACATGATCTCTCTTCCGTTTACATATTATTCGTGGCTGGAAAGGATTAGTGCATGTTGCTGGCACTTGCAACCACAATGGCTTCCTGAATTTCTCTGATAATTAGAATTCGTGTCAACATCTGTTCCATTTGCTCTCTGCTGATTGGCTGGGTGGAGTACCAGATTGGGCTGTTGGGGGCCACAACAGGCTCTGGAGTCAAGTAAAAGGTGTCATTACGACCTTTCACACTCTGTGGGCTAAAGGAAAAAATGCAGTGACATTATTATATGCGCAAATGTGTAACCTTTCTAATATGAAATACAAAAGGGTCAGAGCTAATATTTAAAAAGTTACTTAAAGCACCACAATTACTTCAGTGATTTCCAGAAGTCATGGTCCATGGAACTTGTATGTGAAAATCTGCAAATACCTAGTTTAATCTCCTGCTGGAGGTGTAACTGGCTTGCTAATGTCAATCCTGTGCATATTAAAATTAATACTCACCAGCTACAAAAGAGCCCAGCAGGCATGCAGGTAAGAGTGCAAACTGTTGTAAAATGGTTTGCCCTATTAAAGGGAAGGGGGCAAGGGTACTTCTGGCATACTAACCACAGGCTGCCGTGGTTATAAAGCTTGGATTAACTCTTTAATTCAAATTGTACAAAACTACATTTTCAATAAATGAGCTAAAACCAGCTTGAGATCTGAGCAGGGACCCACCAAAGGGGAGGCTAATTGAGCTGTTGTCTGTTCTCACCTCTTTTGCTACTTGGCTTTCTCTCCTTAAGTTTAAAGGGCAATCCAGACGTGGATCCCTTGCTCACGGAGCCTAGAGGGATATTGGCTATACCTCACTGATGATACCTTACAAGGTGGAAACGATCGTCTGGGGTTGCTGTATCTCTCATGCAAAGGGAACTTGCTGGCATTTCGGATCTGGACTGCCCGTACGGGTGGGACCAGTCTGATATGCTTCATATATGTTCTCTCTGTAATGGCACAAGATCAGCTAAAACCAGCTTGAGATCTGAGCGGGAGCCCACCGAAGGGTAGGCTAACTGAGCTGTTGTCTGTTATCACCTCACTTGCTACTTGTTTTTCTCTACATTTCCAATAAATGTTCAACCACAAAGATTTTTTTTTAAAGATTATAAATCATGCATTTGGTACATCCAATTTACAAACTTTTTTAAGTTTAGCTGACGTTCCAAAGAGGATAAAGTAAAGAGCATTTCCAAATGCAAAATCTTACAGGGTTTATGTATTTGTGGAGTCTCATTTTGTAGCTTAGACTCAATGACTTCAACAAAACACCTTAGGTACCAATGAATGTCTATGCCATATTACTGTGGTCCTCAGGCATCCTATTTCAAAATGGATTTACCAACTCAATTAAGAACGTCTTATAAGATTAATAACCATTCATATGCAGTAATAGCTTTATGAAACAGATTTTAATGGAAGCAAAGGAACATTTTGTCACAAGGTAGTTAAAATAAGTGGCTTAATTGTGCTTCACATACCATTTGAAGAGGTAGAAATCATACAATTTAATGGGACATCGCAATGGATTTTCAGGGTTCTCTGTCTGCTCTGCATACATGTCATCTGTAATAGAAAGACCTAAAAGATTAGGACAATATTAGCAAAATGACAGTCACCTTGTTTATTACTTTCATCTTGAGATTTGAAAATTTAATAGAAATGAGTGACATGAGGAAGGGAAACTATATATATATATGTCACGCTTTTTTTTCTGGAAATATGTGAGCACTCAAGAATTTGAGTACTAATGTAAGTCAAAGTCAGGTTTCTTTAATAGTATAATTTTCAATCTTATTCAGATCATATCATGTTCAAGGAGAAATGTGTAAAACCTTATCACCCATTAAAGCAAACTTAATATATACATTAATTTCTCATGTACTATTTATTACCGGTTTTCTTTTACCAATACAACGCAGTGTGTTTTTATTATAAGAACCGTGAAGGTTATTTGTGGATTGTGAGTATTTTGCATTCTTTATACAAGAGGAACACTGTTGGCACCAACAAAACAACTTACGTTCTTAATATGCTCCATTTTCCTCATTGCTTAGTTTTCTCGTTTTGATGAACAGGAACAGTTTTTAATATATTGGGCTGCTGAGAGTAATATGAGCTGTACTGTTGGGAGACAGACATACTAACCATGTGTTTCCCCAGAGCTGTCCTTTTGCTCTAATTATATGTATGTCTTTATTTTATTACACTTTGTATCACATCTGCTGTGAGTCAGTTATAATGGACCCAGAAACAAATAGTTTCCAACTCACATCTTAGCAAAGGGTGTTGGATGCACTCTATATTAGAGTACCTGCCAATCCCTAGTTTTAACATTCGCTGACAACATCATTTCCTTAGCTGCAAAAATCTCTGGAATTAAATGCACCGTTTCCCGATTCCTTTAAAAGAGTTAATATTGTTGTAATCCAATCTCTGCACTATGACTAGTCTCTATATTGCACGCTATAGTGTTGTTTACACCTCCCAACCCCAAATCTGTAAATAGACCTTATTAGACATTAAACTTTAACCCCTTAAGGACGGAGCCAAATGTACACGTTGTGAACAAAACAAAAAGTAAACAAAACCTGGCATTTGCGCTACATGTCTGTCCAACCGTAATTCACCTCTTTCATAGTAAATGCACCCACCCTTATATATCATTTTATTCAGGGGAAACAGGGCTTTCATTTAATATCAAATATTTAGCTATGAAACATAATTTAATATGAAAAAAATGGGAGAAAATACGATTTAAAAAAAAAATTGTTTAGTTCTACATGACATTTTAACGGTCAATGTCATAATACTGTTTGCTTTTACTGCAATAAAATACACATATTTGTATTCAGCAAAGTCTCACGTGTAAAACAGTACCCCCTATGTACAGGTTTTATGGCGTTTTGGGAAGTTACAGGGTCAAATATAGCACGTTACATTTGAAATTGAAATTCGCCAGATTGGTTACGTTGCCTTTGGGACTTTATAGTAGCCCAGGAATGAAATTTACACCCATAATGGCATACCATTTGCAATAGTAGACAACCCAAGGTATTGCAAATGGGGTATGTCCAGTCTTTTTTAGTAGCCATTTGGTCACAAACACTGGCCAAAGTTAGCGTTAGTATTTGTGTGTGAAAAATGCAAAAAACTTCAATTTTGGCCAGTGTTTGTGACTAAGAGGCTACTAAAAAATACTGGACATACCCCGTTTGCAATACCTTGGGTTGTCTACTATTGCAAATGGTATGCCATCATAGGGGTAATTTTCAATCTTGGGCTACCATAGGGTCTCAAAGGCAACCTAACCAATCTGGGGAATTTTAATGTGAAAAAAATGAAACGCAAGCCTTATATTTGACGCTGTAACTTTTGAAAACACCAGAAAACCTGTACATGAGGGGTACTGTTGTACTCGGGAGACTTCGCAGAACACAAATATTTGTGTTTCAAAACAGTAAAAAGTATCGCAGCAATAATATCGTCCGTGTAAGTGCTGTTTGTGCGTGAAAAATGCAAAAAACTTCACTTTTACTGGCTATATCATCGTTGTAATACATTTTACTGTTTTGAAACACTAATATTTGTGTTCA